TCCAGGTAGCTTTCCATAGATATGAACCCCACGGAAATACGTTCCATGCATCTAGGTCCTCTACCAATAATATTAAATCCTTAGAAATAGGTTATCTGCCCTCTTTGCCTAAAAAGCTGGCATTCAAAAGTAATAAAAGGCATACTCGGACAATATCAAGGTCATCTATCCGAGTAAAACTATCTTTAAGAAGTAATCTTTTACAATCATCGATGTGTAAACTGGGCTTCGCCTTTGCCAGCTCAAGAAAAACCCAAAATAACCATGATGGGTGGGCGATATGACTAGTGTACCGACCTACTTTATCGTGTCATCCGAAACGTAGACCAGTGATTAAGGAAAACTCCTCCTGCCCAAGACAAGTATACGCCGGTGGAAAATGAAACCATATCTTTTCATCACCGCGTTGTATTCTCTCGGGTAGATCGTTAGTCATGGTCTGAAGAAACAAATGGGTTAACATAGCATCTCCACCTGGATGTTGTACTTTCAGCCATGGCTCGAAACAAGTTTTCTCAAACAAATTTCTTTGTACAGGTGTAAGTGTCGGCGCAATTGTAGTGGCTAGGATTAATTTATTCCTTAAAGTCAATGAAGCCGAAAAAAATTTCTAATAAAAACAATAAACATATCAAGTTATATATACCAAAAACTACAAATTATATACTATAAACAGACATGATATTAAACATGAAAAATATAGCCAATATGTTTCAAACTAGCACGGTATTCATCCAAGTCATTATTCTATCATAGTTCACAAAATGCATCAGATAATAGTCCAGAAGTAAGAACTTATATCACATTTAAAAGGACAATATATAGGTTTAGTGTAGGTTCAAGGACAATATAAAGAGTAGCAGTTTATTCTTGAAACTTAAATTCGCAACACTGTGAAGTTAGTATTTGTCTTTGTTTTTTTGGCTGAAGTAATGCAATTCATTCAAGTTTCAATTTGCAGAAGAAGAGTAGTTTTTGAAACTTAAATTCGCAACGCAAAAATGAAAATTGCAACGAGAAAATGAAAATCGCAACGTGAAACTAAAATCGTGTTGCGATTTTCATTTTTGCGTTGCAATTTTCGTGTTGCGGATTTCATTTTCTTGTTGCGAATTTAAGTTTCATAAACTATTCTTCTGCAAATTGAAGCTTGAATGAATTGTATTACTTCAACCAAAAGACAAATACTAACTTCATAGGGTTAAAGACTAAATAGTTTAGCAGTATTGGGAGCAACCGAATGAATTTACTAAGCAATCTAAGTGAAATGGTTAATCTATATATTGAAATTACCAGTAAATTTATCATCAATTTAAATATGAAAAATCTAATAATAATACAAAAATTTCAAAATAAAAATAATTAAAAAAACTAACTCTCAGTGGTTGATTTTCCATTTGTGGCCGTGAATGGTTGTGAGGGTGGCTCTGAGAGATGGAGATAGAGGGGAGTCGCCGGATATGGGGACGGATATCGTCGGAGATGTGGACGGATGTCGCCGTAGAGAGTGAGAGATGGGATTGAGTTATGATTTAGGGTTTTAGGTTATGAGTTGTGATTATACTATTTACATTTGTGTTACGAAATTAATATTACGTTTCGAATTCGAAAATAAAATTCACGTTGCGAAAATAAACGCGCTTTGTGAATTTGACTTCTGTGTTGCGAATTTGACTTCTATGTTGCAATTTACAAATTCGCGTTGCGATTTACATATTCGCGTTGCGATTTCCATATTCCCATTGTGAATTTCAAAAGTGAGTTGCGAAATTGGAGTTCGCGTTGCGAATTTGTTGGTCATTTTCGCAAAACCAAAAAATGTTGGTTAAAATCGTATATTATAAGGCATTTTCGGTCACTAAAGTTATTTTCTTTAATAAATATACAAGGATAAATATATATAGATAGAGAGAGTGTTAATATTCCTTTCAAAATTTTGGCATACCCTCTTTTATGTTTTATAATATTTTAAACATTTATCTCTTATACTTTCAAGGACATCTATCATAGAATGGACGTGAAAGTTCTATTCATTAGTAGTGGTGTGATTTGATACGACATTCGAACGAAAAATAACTCGAAAAAATCGATCGCCTCTTTGAACAAAAAATGTTATTTTTATAAAAATCGTGTTTTATATTTGATTTGCATAATTTTGTGATAATAAATTGAGAAGGGGACATTCTTGTATAGAGAATAAGTAGATGGGATATACTTCCCATTGCAGGATGCGTAAATTTCGTGGTTTCTTCTCAAAATAGGAAATGTTTCTTAACAAATAATTTGAAATAAATTAGTCAAAATAGGGAGTCATTATTATTAACGTTTTAACTTTAATATTTAAAAGAGTTTATCGTAATCATAACATTAAGGATCATAATGAACATAACTAGAAATTTTAAATAATATATATATTCAAATCAAATAAAATTGACAATATTGTTATGCTTTGTCCATAATTGCAACCCCGGTTCAAAATAATTATTAATAATAATTGATGAACTTAAATCAAATTAAAAGAATAATAAATTCATATGCTTTTCGATAAATGTTAATATGAAAAATGTAAACTAAAATTATTTTTAATAATTAATAATTTATTAAATTTTAATAGTAAATAAAGTGTTATTAACTTCTATGAGCATGACACTAACTATTAGAGATTAAATAGAGTTCAGTAAACTATAATAAAATTATATGCTCTAATAGAATCTAATAATATAATTAACATAATGAAATAATAATATTAAATATGGATAATAATAGTTTACCTCTATCCATATCCTAGTTAGCTTTAATCAAACTTTTATATAGAATCATAATAATATTTTTCACTTTTTTGTAAGTTATTATTTGATGGTGAGAATAAGATGGGGAGAAAGAAATATTGTCCTAACTAATTATCATATTCCTTTTATAAGAGAGGAGAGAATTAAAACCCTATATTTTTTAATGATTTTAATATCCAACAACCATTGTATTGGACCATTTCTATCAGAATCAATGCATAATTTATGTATACCATTTTAATAAAATTTAACATTAAAATCATTAAAAGATAACATACATGGATGAATTGAAGAGGTGGATGAATAGGGATAGGTGGAAGATTTATTTTTTAATTCTTATATATTTTAAATATTTTTATATTTTTTATTTATAATATATTTTTGTTTTAAATTTTAAAAAAAATATTTAAAATTTTATAAATTTAGCTCAAACATAAAATTATGTGTTTTTCACTGATAATAAAACCCTCTTATTATTAAGATAAGAGTTTGTAGCTGTCTTGTTTATAAATTTACTTGATGAACATTATAAATGTTTAGAAAATCAAATGATTAATTAAGTTTATATTTTCTTATAAATTATTTTATGTTATTTTTATATAAGACCTAGATTATTTAAATTTTAATATTTAGACTTATTGTTTTAAATACTTTTTATTTAATATATTAAAACAGAAAAACTGTAAAATTAATGATTAATAAAAACAAAAGTGAAGGTCCCCAATCCATATGGAACTTAGTGGGGGGCCGACAAGTTCGTTTAATCGGAGTCGTATCAGACTGACAACTCAAGGAGGGGCATTCAGTTGCTTAATAAACTCTTTAACAAGTTTAATTAAAAAGGTGATTTAATTCCATTTCATTTATGTATTTATTTACGGGTTTAATAAAACACACTTAAGCAGACAAGGTATACGTGCATGCTTGTCTTGCCAAAGCTAATGTTGTAAGATCAGTTCCCTACGTATTTAATTCTAACTCCAACTCTTAAGTTCTCCCATCCCTAAACTTTGTCTTTTGAAACCCAATCACAAATTGACACCAAATTTAAGAGGAGAAAGAGTTAGATTTAGGTCAATTTCAAGGTACATAATTGAAGCGGCAGAGAGAGATGGTTAGGCATTATATTTTTTTTATTCCTAACCCTCAATTTGAGGCAGGGTTGTGAACGAGCCGAGTCTGAGTTTTGTTGAGTTTATTTAATTCAAAATTTTAAAATTAAATTTGTTTTGATTCGAAAACTCTTAAGTTTAAAATTTTTAAATTTGAAAAAAATTTGAAGCTCAACTAAAGCTAGAGAATCTTAAAATTGAAATATTTTCAAACTTAGTTCGATTGAAGCTTAAATTTTAACTCGGTTTAAGCTTGAACTTAAGTTTGAACTTACACTTCAAGTACATGAAAGCTTAATATTGTGCTTTTTAAAAAAATATATAAATGTAAATATTATTAATAGTTTATTTATAATAAAAAGACAAAAAAACACTCGAGATCTATGAATTTTTCAACAAATAAAAATCAATATGACCCTTATCCTATTTTTGGATCAATGTAGTCATTTGACCAACGGTTCTATTAATTCCTACTGTTATAAATTGGGTAAATAAATATTTGATATAATAGTTTTTGAGATGCTTGTGAACTTTTCAAGTCGAGTATTAAGTAGTTCATTTCAGCTTTGTTAAGAACTCGAGTCAAGTTCGAGTTCGAACTTAAGTCGAGTTCAAACTTAAGTCGAGTATATCAAATTTAGGTACCGACTGAATTTTAATCGAACCGAATTGAGTACCTCACACATTATCTTACAACCCTACTTTGAGTGATGTTCTTTCTGCCCAATTTCTTGAGTTTATTATTTAAGAGATTAATTTTACTATAAATTCCCATATTACGATATACGTTTCAAATTTAAAATATAAATTAGTACGGTAATAATATGCCAATCAAGTTTTGTTATTTAAAATAATTTATTTTGAATAGTTTAAAAGGATTATAAGATTTTATTTATTTATAATTTTTTTTAATCATTAACATATATTATATAGATACAAACTGTTTAAATTTAAAATATTAAAAATAATATTTTTTAACTAATGATACTCGATAAATTTCTAATTTTTACTTGTATGTAAATTTTCTATATGAACTGATATTTAAGATGGTGATCGAAGCTGTGTGGTATAAATATCTCTTTTCGAGATCGAGAGAGAGAGAGAGAGAGAGAGAGGATAATTTAATAAGAAGAAATGTTGGGAGGCAAAAGTGGTATTAACAATTATTAGCTGAAAAGAAAGAAAGAAAGGCCACCCTGACAACAAAGCATCTCCCTTTGTTTTTGTTTTTATCAATTTCATGATTTCAGTTTCTATCTTCTTTTTCATCTCTCGAAATCGTAATCGTCATCTCCATCTCCATTCATTTTTTTTCTCTGTCTTTCTCCCTTTATCTTTCTTCTTTATTCTGTCCTTTTCTTTTTTGCAGATCGGTTTTCTCAGTTGATTATGATTATACCCTTTCTTTCTTACTGCTGCTACCTCACCTCAGCTGCCTCCCTTTTTCTGTTGCTTACAGTTTAATTTCCCAGAAACGAAAACAAAAGAGATTCACTTATAAATTAAATTCTAAATCTCGAAGAGGGCAGTATGGAACACTAACCCTCGTACGTTTACTCTTTTTTCTGGCAACCTGACTTGCCAGTTGAATCGGGTCAGACCCAGTTCTAGATTCTTTTCACAGCGTCTCCATCGCCAGCAAAACGAGCGATTCCCCCCTCTCGCAGCCGTGTGGGGGACGAGAACAAGACGGAGGGAATTGAAATGAATTTTGTTTGTGGTATTTATCATTGACGAGAAGAAGTCGAAACTCCTTCATGCAACATTCAGACGACGGCGGAAGACTATTGCTGGAAAACGAATATATTTAGATGCAGCAAGGAGGAGGAAGAGGAGGAGGGCATCAATCGCAATATGGGGAGATGAGTGGTGGTCCGAAAACGGATGCAGCGAGTAGCAGTCTGATGGTGAGCGAGCAATCGGAGCAGCTGGAAGAGGCGTCTCCAATCAGTTACAGACCGCCAGCCATGGGGAATCCCGATGAGTTGATGAGGTTCGCAAGCGGCGGTGGAGATGAGGAAGGCGGCGGCGGCGGCGTAGGAGGAGGGGGAGGTGGAGCTGCAAGTAGGAATAGGTGGCCCCGTCAAGAGACTCTTGCACTTCTCAAGATTAGATCAGATATGGATTCCGTCTTCCGTGAAGCCACCATCAAAGGCCCACTTTCGGAAGATGTTTCCAGGTACCCAAAAATAGCTACCTTCTCTTGCTGTTAATTTTCCTTTCGCTAAATCTATAGATCAGCCATTCAAAAAATCCAGTAAACACACATTGCATTCTATTCCAATGAGCTTAATTGTTGCGGTGAGATAAGATAAGAAGAAGAAGAAGAAGAAGAAGAAAGAAAAAGGATAAAAAGTCCTGGATCTGCTTGCATGAACTTTTTTTTTCTGTGTTATCTGTATACTTATTACCGGTAGCAAGTACTTTTTTATTTTTTATGATGAATATAAGATATTATTTGTTTAAATATTTTTAATTTTTTGATAATAAATACAAGTATTTATATATATATATATATATATATATATGAATATAAATTTTAATAGATAATAATAATTTTTTTAATTACAGAAGTTATTTGGAACTTGTTACATATATTTTGATTTAAATTTAGGTTGTGGGTTTCTTACTGTAATCAATTTCAGTTCGGGATTTTGAAAATCTCGAGAGAAATTCCTTTTGTTAATTATTAAATTTTAAAAGATGGTTCCACCCACTGTGTCTTTGTTTTAGTCTGGGATTCTCTCCCTTTTCACCGTCATTGATTATTATATGGGAATTACTTGGGTGCATCTTATTTGTACAAGCTATCCGAGTAATATATAATTGAGTCCTTTTGATATAATATTGCAAATTAGTAGTGTTTGATTATACGAGGTTTGCAGGAAGCTAGCGGAACTGGGTTACAAAAGGAGTGCCAAAAAGTGCAAGGAAAAATTCGAGAATGTCCAAAAGTACTACAAGCGAACAAAAGATGGCCGATCTGGGCGTCAAGATGGTAAGAGTTACAAGTTTTTCAGCGAACTCGAGGCTCTACGTACAACTTCCGCCACGATAACACCTACCGCGGCCGTTTCCTCCTTCAGCCTGGACGTGGCTCCCATTTCGGTTGGGGTCCCTATGCCCATCTCTTCTATCAGGATTCCGCCTAGAAGTACAGCTGCCACTATCCCCGTGTCCTCGGCGCCAGCCCCTCCTATCACCAGTACAGTCGCTCCGTTTGGGATCACCTTTTCTTCTAATAGTTCTTACGAAGTCGAACTACGAGGGGAACCTTCGGGCATGGCTGACACGAGTCGAAAACGTAAAAGGCATTCGTCTTCGAGAGATGGTGGAAGTAATAGCGGTAGCATCAGGAAGATGGAGTTCTTCGAGGGCCTAATGAAACATGTAATGCAGAAACAAGAAGCCTTGCAACAGACGTTTTTAGATGCCATGGAGAAGAGAGAGCAAGATAGGATGATAAGAGAAGCAGCTTGGAAAAGACAAGAGCTAGCAAGATTAGCCCATGAACATGAACTTCTGGCTCAAGAACGTGCCCTTGCTTCTTCTAGGGATGCTGCCATTGTTTCATTCTTGCAGAATATTACTGGTCAGACGATACAGTTACCCTCGGCGGCTCCACCTCCGCAGACACAACCACCCGCACCTGCTGTTCCACCACTGACCCCAATTCCTTCACCAGCAGCTCCACAACCGCAACACCACCACCAACAACAGCAACAACAGTCACATTTGCAACATCAACGGCAACAGCCGCAACAATCACATTTGCAACATCAACAGAACCAGTATGAACCACAAAATACTAAAGTTGTGAAGCATCAACAACATCGTATACCTTCGGAAGTGACAATGGCTAGCCAGGAACAAAAGGTGGCACGACAGGAGATCGGTGGGAGCGAAAGGATGGAGCCTGCGTCGTCCAGATGGCCTAAAGCTGAGGTTCTGGCACTTATAAGCATAAGGAGTGGGCTTGAATCTAGTTATCAAGAGGCTGGGCCGAACGGTCCTCTCTGGGAAGAAATCTCCGCAGGTATGAGCAGGATGGGCTATAAGAGAAGCGTCAAACGATGCAAGGAAAAATGGGAGAACATCAACAAATATTTCAAGAAAGTCAAAGAAAGTAACAAGCAGCGTCCCGAGGATGCCAAAACCTGCCCCTATTTTCACCAACTCGAGGCCCTTTACCGTAAGAAAATACTTGGTGGTGGAACTAGCGGTGGTTCCTGTAGCTTCAGTGACCAAAATAGGCTTGAAGGTGAAACATCACAGCCTAGTGACACCCCAACAATCATGCCAGCGCCACCATTGACGCAGCAGCCTATTCATAATCAATCTGAAAATAAAACCGAAGTTATTGTTGATGCCCTTCCAAATAAAGAAAATTCAACTGGAAGTCTCTTGGGAAAAGGAAATACTGGATTTGCAAAGAAGGTAAATTTATTTTCATTTATACATAATGACAAATTACCCCCAACATTTAAATAAATATTTGCATCCTATTTTTTTTCTTGGAGAATTTTACCCTATATTGTTTTAATTTTTGTTCAAACGAGATCAATCCGATAGTTGACTAACAATTAACCTATGATACTAACATGATATTTTCACATATGTCAAATTATCGACGTGACATATATCACGTTATCATTTTAGTAACACTGTACATGTCAAATCATTATTTTTTGTGACATGATACACGCAACATCATCATTTTCTATGATATGATACATGATATGTCATTATTTTATGTTAAATGACAAATAACTCGTCATCAATTGAACACATTTGAAAATGCTATGTTAGTAGCATAGTTTGACCATTAGTCAACCAATTGTTTTCATCCAATAAGATTTGTTTTGATCATAAATCAAAATGTTGGGGATAAAATACTTATAAAAATAGGAGATAAAGTGAGTATTTGTATAACCGTTGGGTGTTTTTGTCATTATGCCTTTCTTTTATTACATGTCACCAATTCACCATCCTCTTTTTAATATTTTTCAATAAACATTTCATTTTGATTCTTGGCTGGTATTGAAGTCAGAAGATATGGTGAGGGAGCTGATGGAGGAAAGGGAGATGCAGTAGCAAAGGATGCATACATACATACAATCCTAGGTGGTTGAATGGCTATGATCTATAAGGTTGACCAACCATATAGTGAGAAAATGGAACATGAATAGGAGGAAATGGAAGAAAAGCGAAAGATGGGTTTTATAAGATTGAAATTCAAAGACAAAATTCAAGCTGAGGACCATCCTATGCGCTTATCGGTTCAGAAGTTTTGTTTCTCTCCTACTTCCTGAATAATTTCGGTGTCATTATTGTTATTTTTTTTTCAGTTCATTGATTTGTTGGTGAATAAGGAATTCCGTTTTAAATGGGAAACGAGAAGATAGATTGAATTGAGACATATGAAAACAAGCTTGGGTTTTCACATTATAATGATATTAAATATATCAAATACAATTTAAAAGTATACAATATATTCACAATATTTTATTTAAAAAAATATTTTGAGGGTAAAATATTGATGAGAGTATAAAGGAGTTACAATCAAAAGACCAAATTGAGTAAAATGCAAAGTTAAGGGGCTAAATAAAAAGAGAGTATATTTTTTTGTTAAAAAATAGGAATTGAAGATACATAAGTATTTTATAGTGATATATGGGCATGTGGTTCAAGTTTGGTAAAAAACATACTTAAAAAGGATGAATCGAAGAAACAAGAAATTATGAAAAATTGAGGGACTAAATTAAAAAATAGAAAACTTTTTACCGAAAAGAGGAATTGAAAGTACATATGTATTCTAAGATGGTTTAGGAGCATATGTTTCAAATTTCATAAAAAAATAGACCTAAAATGGAGGAAGAATTGAATGAATAATGAAATTCGAAACTATATCGTAAAACTGTTAAAATACTTAGTCAATTTTTCATTTTTTCCGAGTAACTCGAAATCTCAAAATTTCAACTCGACTCGAACTCAAAAACCAAATCAATAATTCAAGTTGATTCGATTAAGTGGAATAATTTGACTCTTATAACTAGAAATTAAAAAAAAATCTATTTCTCAAATCGAGTTGAGTTTTACTCACCCTATAGGATAACATACTTATAAAATTTTAAAAGATAAAAATAAATTTTTAATAAAAAATACAGAAAAATATCTAAAATATATATAAAAAATTTCCCCACCCGTTCCCTCGATTAATCCGTGCACACGTAAATGGTTCTTTTCTTTTGTTTCCTTTCAAGTTTTGTGGTTCTTTCTCCTCCTTTTTCTCCAATCTTTTATATATATTCTTTGTTGCTTCATGCCCTTCAGTTCAATGACTATGGTTGTCATTCCTTTTTTTTACCACTGTTAAAATTAGATTAATTTAGAGTGTTATCCATCGGTAAACACACACTCACTAATAATTATATTAAAATCTAAAAAATATTTAATAGAGTAAATGAAATAAATGCGATTGGTGACTGTGTATAGATTTTTCCTAATGGGATGGGAATATTGCATGTGGACAACTAGCAACAGTTAAAGCATATATGGCACAGTGATCTCCATAATTCCACATTGCAATATTATTCTCCTTTGCCAGAATCCCAACTAAACTAAGTGCTATCTAAGAGATTTATTTTTTAAATATAAATTCAAATCTTGAATTTTTCATGTTATTGTTAAATGATTCCATTTAGATCCAAATCCTCTTAACTAGTGTTGTTAATATTGACCTAATTTTCATGTACTTTGTAGCATCAGTGACACATCACGAGGACTGTACCTTCTAACATGGTATGTTTCCGATTATTAATAATAAAAAAAAGTTTTGATAGATTCAGTAATTTTTTTTTAAAAAAAATAAATAAAGGTTGACGATTTTGAAAGAATAAATATAATTAAAATAAGAGAAATTTAGGACGGCAGACGAGACTTAACCACCAAAGATCAAACAATAATATCAAGAGATATCTCCATCCAACTCACCACCACCTTGGCCTTCTCCCCCCACTTTTTTTTTCCTTCCCCTTTTTGAATGTAACGGAAATATGATACAACATAAAAAAAAATAGAACATCGTCAAAACATACATTTCTCTATTTAAATTTAAAATACACAGGAACCCATCTAGAAAAGGAGTATTTATCTCCTTGAGGTCCTGATTAGTGGTTGACGCAAATCAACTTTAGGATAAGCACCTATCCATTCTAAAATTCAAATTTCTTTATGTTTGTTGTTTATTTTATTGATGGTGCCCACTCTGAAATTTTATTTGTGTCTACCACATATGAATTTATTTATTTATTAATATATATATGTCTACCATAAAAAATATTTATAGATCCGACATTGATCCTAAATTCGAGCAGCTACATATGCATGATACATACTATCAAAAATTAAAAAAATATATAAACAGATTCTAACTTATCCTTATACTATTAAAAATATACACATCTTTCCTTTTCTTTCTACATATTTCCAAATTTCCTTTCGCCATCGTTATCGACGTTATGTGAAGCTCCATTTTTTGTGATATCATGAATATTATTGATCAGTAAAACAAGGAGCTGCACTTTCACACCACAGCACCACGAACATGAAAGGAGGGATGGCTATTGATCAGTAAAATATACGAATATATTAAATTTTTAAATAATATTTTTGAAGAGAAAAAGATAGAAGTGATGGTCGGATGCCATTCATCTTGATTAAATTGAAATAGAAAGTTATTTGTATACAATGGCCAAGAGATTCTAAGAATCTTTTAGATTTTTTGTGTTAAAAAAAGAGTTTGGTCGGCATTTTTTTTGTATATCCTTTATATTTTTATAATTTATATTTTTTCAATGAATGTATTCCAGTGATAAACACATGTTGCACTACAACAGAATAGGTCTATGGCGGTTTTTTCCAGTCCTATAACGGCATTTTAAAGCGCCGCTAAAAACACTCCCGGCGTAAAAAAATGTCACAAGAAGCGTCGGCTAAACAAATGCCGCAACTGTTAGCATGTCAACAAACGCTGCAAAAATTTAGGTTCTTTAGTGACGTTTCGGATACAAACGCCACAAAAAGTGAGATTATTTAGCGATGCTTGAGTTACAAATGCCGTTAATTGTGATGATACATAGCTACGTTTTTTATGCAAACACCACTAATAGTTATGTATATAGCGGCCTTTTTTCACAAAAACACCGCAAATTATGTCCTACATTAGTATCGTTTTTCTTTCTAAGATGCTGCTAATCACAACTGATTTTCAAAATATTTTGTTATCACTTTGTGTTGCCCAAATTTAACCTATAACAATATCCAATAACAACATTGAAATGTAATTACGATTCCACTTAAATAAAAATACATAAATATATGAATATATCAAAGTTTACAAACATCCAACTGAAATGTAACATAGTTGAACATTGTTCACTAGAATAAACAAAACATTAACCTAAGAAATCACCTAAGATGAAGAATTCTTCGCTTGATTCTACTACATCACCTCCTTCATAGCTTCAAGTTGAGTTTGAAGTTCTTCATATTTTTTCTGATATTCCGCTTCTCTCTCTGCATTTCTCTCTTTAGCTTCGACTTTTATTTGAGCAAAATTTTCATCCACTTCAATCAAGTGTTATTTTAATTGATTAACTTCTGATTGAGAAAACTGATTGTGCGATGGCATTTACTGAGACGAGTTTGCTCTATAATATTTAGTTGGGGTAACGAAGGATCCCTGACAACGAACTCGACCATATCTTTCAGGACCGAAAAATTCAGCAATAACTTCTCATACACATTAATAGAACCATGAGATGAAGTCATAGCTTCATACTTTACCTTTTATCACTAAATTTTTCCAAATAATCAATTAAGAATTTAGAACAAATTCAAACATTATTTAAAATAAAAATGTTAATACTATAAATACAAGTATAACATAATTCATATTTTATGACCAATAAATATACCATATTTTCTGCAGCTTTAGGAGCCATCAGAGAGCCATCTTTCTTGGTATGTGTCATTTTGAAGAGCTTTATTCGTCAAACTCTATTGCCAGATGTAATTTCCAACAATGTAGAATATAAATTAATACTTACAAAAAAGTAATCAATAATAGGAAAAAATGTTTGTTACTATGTACTACCAACTTAAAATCATTGTGAATAATCAATAATTGTTTAAAAAAGTACCTCATCATGAGCTATACGAGCAAAGCTCTTTGATGTAGCTTTGTGAGTAAACTTTTGTTGTTGTCTACTAGCAATACCACCAACGTGCTCTAGATCTTACAATTTGAAATTTACATGACTTATAAAGTCAATATTATAGTGAAGTGCACCATACCTATCCTTTATTTGAACTCCAAACCTGATTGCATATTCTCATTGATACCGAAGCATTCCAGTGGGACATTTTACAGCTTTTGTGATAGGCTGAGCTGATTCTTAAAATAATTCTTTTTAAGGAACTCTTATGGTTTCTCCATTTATTTCCTAACGCTTGCTTCAAATAATTATCTAAGACCTCTAGAAAAAAATTATCCTACAAATAACACAAGTGTTAAAAGTAAATAAATTACATTGAACTGTAATAAATTATCTATTACAATGAAATTAATAATTTAATACAATCCACAACCTGATTTTTGTTACTATTTGTCATCTTACGCCATGACTCAAAATTGATCTGTAGAAGATTAACATTGCGTGCAATCACACCTAAGTAACCAGCCAGAATATGTGTTTCTGCCTAATAGGTTGGCCGACATCGTTACTCGAACCTTTCACATGTTCCCCAAGAGTAAGTTCGTATAATTCCTTCGTTATTCTATGACCTCTACTCTTGCGCCATTGACTATTTTCAACTATATAGGAAATAATTCAGTGTAAGTTTTAAATCAAGTAAGCAAAAGAATCAACCACCATTTAAATAAATTATCGAACATTACATTCAATTTCTACAGTTTCTTCAACTGTATTCGGAACTTCCGAAGATCCATCACCAATTGGTTCCTCATTATTTTTTTCTTCCTTCTTTGAGGAGCTCGAACAATCCACAGATCACTTAATTTCCTCCTAGGCATAATATCTGCAATAAACAAATAACAATAGTAGTAACTAGTTACAAGAATACTATTAACGTATATATTATAAATTAATCAATTAAGATATTAAATCTTACTACATTGTTATGTCATATTAATTTTCATAAATATATTCATCCATGTCATCCTAAACCCATTGGAATTGTGAACTAGTACGAGTGATAGTTTCATTTAAAGTTTGCACAACAAAAGACAAAGTTTCTAATCTTGTTTCAATGTCATCTCTACTTCCATCCTCGATGTCTATCAAGTTTCTGGGGAGTTACGGAGTACAACATACCAACACTCATCCATTGGATCGT